TTTCTACATTGTGGTGACCAAAACTGGATGCAGTATTCCAAGTGTGGCTTTACCAAGGCCTTATAAATTGGTATTAACCCTTCACATGATATTGATTCTATCCTTCTGTTTATGCCATCTAGAACTGTGTTGGTTTTTTTGGCAGCTGCTGCACATGGCTGGCTCCTATTTAAATGGTTGTCCACTAGGACTCCAAGATCCCTCTCACAGTTAATACTGTTGAGGAAGATACCACTTATACTGTACCTGTGCATTTCATTTTTCTTGCCTAAATGTAGAACCTGACTCTTTTCACCCTTGAATTTCATTTTGTGAAATGAATAGTTTGACAGTGATGTGGGAATTAGATGACTTCACAAGCACCACTGTCACTCCCCAGGAACAGATCATGGGAAAGGATCCCAGCCAAGAGCTTCCGTACAAGTAGTCCTCGACTTACAACAGTTCGTTTAGCAATTGTTCAAAGTGCAAAGACTCAGGACCGGTTTTCACACTCACAATTGTTGCACCATCCCCCATGGTCATGTGATCAGATGCTCTGCAACTGACACCTATTTATGAGCTCTGCAGTGTCCCAGGGTCATGTGATAAGGGGAGTGCATAAGTGCACCAACGTGCCTACTGTCCCTATCCTAATGTGTCCATTTCATGTATTCCAAATCATGTTTATACTTATATCTGTTATTTAATACAAGCTTGATGAAATAAAATAAATACATAAATAAATGTGATTCCCCCCCTTTTTTTTAACCTTCTGACTAGCCAAGTCAAGGGGGGAAGGCAGATTCACTTAACCACCCTGAGACTAACTTAAACAACCGTAGTGATTCGCTTAACAAAGAGGGGCAAGAAAGGTCGTAAAGCATGGCAAAGCTCAACTAAGAAACGTCTCACTTATCAACACATAAATTGTGGGCTCAATTGTGGTCGTAAGTCGAGGACTACCAGTATTCGCCATTCACGACCAGCCACGGGGATCCAGTGGGATTTTTTTTCTCGTGGCAGATTCCTGCCAGAGCTTTGTCGTCGCAGTGAAGCTAGATCCACTAAGATCCAGCAGGGATCCAGCAAAAGGATCCCTGTTAATCGGGGCAAGGGATCCAGCGAGACTTCTCCCAGAGGGGGATCCAGAGAAGGGATCCACCAGAGGGGATCCACCCCACCATCCACCCGCCCCTCCCACTCACGGGAAGCGTCGAGCTCTCGGGCGGCCTTGGCAGCGCGTTCCAGGCCGGTGGGATCGAAGTTGCTCCATTTGTCCTTGGGGCGGCTCCCCTCGCCTGTCCCTTCTTTCGATCCCCCGCCGGGCGGAGGAGGCAGCGGGGGTAGCCCGGCTCCAGGACCCGCGTCTCCGCCGCCGCCACTGCCCCCGCCGCCGCCGCGGTTCAGCCCGAAGAGCCACGACATGATGATCCCCGCAACCGGCAAAGAAGCGAATCCCCCTCCAGCACACACGTGGATTCCGCACCGACGGCTCTGCGCAGGCGTCGCCCCGCCTCTTCCGTTCTCGGCCGCTGCTCATTGGATGGGCACTCTGAAGCGGAGCCATAGAGTCGCAGGGTTTGGCAGCCAGGAAAGAAACCTCCCCCTTTCCTCCCCACCTCAGTCACGTGCTTCGGAGAAGATTAAGGCACGAAAGGAAGAGGCGCCAACGGGGTGGGCGAGCAATAGGGACGGTAAGCGGAGAGGACCAATCTTAGTCGAGTCTCGGCCGTCCAAGGAGGGCGGCCCGTCTCCTTGGCAACGGGAATGTTGAGGCGATGGCTGAGGCCGAGGATGAAGGCGACGCCTCAGGTAGGCCGCGGATGGCGGAGGCGGAGGCTTTGCGAGTGCGAGGCCGCGGAGCCTCCCTCAGGTAACGGGGATTTTGAAGGAAATTAAGCGAGAGGACCACCCGATGGAGGTTTCTGAGGAGATTCCCTGCTGGGGTGGTGGTGGCGGCGGCGGCTGGCTGGGGAGGATGGGAATTGTAGTCCCTCGGGAGTGGAAGGTCTTGAGGGCGAACAAGTATGTAGAGGTCATGACAGACAAGAGGTCGGATTCCAAAGCCTTAGTTCCCTCCACCCCGGTGCCCATGCTGGCTGGGGATGATGGAGGTTGCAGTCTCCCTGCCTGAGAAAGTGGAGGTGTATTTTAATGTGTTTTTGTCTTATTTATGAATTTCTAAACCGCTTCAGTATAAATACATAGATGGTTCACAAAGATGATGTACTGAGGTACTGGGCACCTCAGGTTTTCTTTCTTTATTTAAATATTATTTTATTTAGTTTATTATTTAGTTTATTATTTTATTTACTTTATTCAATTTATTTAGTTTATTCATTTTATTTTAGTTTATTCATTTTATTTTATTTAGTTTATTTATTTATTTTAGTTTAGTTTAGCTTGTTTTGTTCGTTTATTTATGTATTTATTACTACTTTTATTTTATTTTTTATTTTATTAACATTAAATTATTAAAATATTGTTATTAAACAAATTTATATGCCCGCCACAAGCATATACTCATTATTAGAGAATTGTTTTTTCTCTCGGGATTTTTCTCAGCTGTGTGAGAGGGAGAGAAAAGAAAAAGGTATTTCTGATCCTTCTTTGCTTGTTGCAAGCACGTTATTATTATTTTTAAGAACAAGCCCCACCTATGTCATTTGGGGTGAGCTAAGAAATGGTGGGAAAAACAGACCAGAATGGGATAATTCATAAAAAAATATATGGGGGGCGGTTGTGGTGTCTGGATTAAGTTTTAACAGCCAATGTTAAAATGACGTCATTTTGTTCTTTCTTTTTCTAGAGAGGCCTCAAAGGACTTCCTTGGCAACAGCCGAAAAACCAACACAACCCACAACATCGGCTTTGTAAACCTAGGGAGGCACCCGGCTCTTCACAGGGATGACCAGCAGAGAAAGTCATTGCTGCTTGAGGAAGAAAATGGTAAAGAGTGCTGGGTGGGACCCAGGTTCGAAGCCTCGTAGTTCCAGGGAGCGTGCAGAGTGACTTTGAACTTCGAGGCCTGCTGTCCCTCAGCCTCAGGAAGAGAGCCAAACGGCAGAGTGTTTCAAAACAAGCAAGATGGCGTCCACCATTTTGCTTGCTTTGACCTTCTTTGGACTGTACAGGTAGTCCTCGACTTACGACCACAATTGAGCCCACAATTTCTCTTGCTAAGCGAAATATTTGTAAGTAAATTTTGCCCCATTTTACGACCCTTCTTGCCACTGTTGTTAAGTGACTCACTGCAGTGGTTAAGTTAGTAGCATGGTTGTTAAGTGAGTCTGGCTTCCACGCTGACTTTGTCTGTCAGAAGGTCGCAAAAGAGGCTCGCATGATCCCGGGGACTCTGCATCCATCATAAATGTGAGTCAGTTGCCAAACCTCCGAATTTTGATCACATGATCACGGGGATGTTGCAACGACCGTAAATGTAAAAAGCCGTCATGTCATTTTTTTCCTGGTGATGTTGTAACTTTCGGCTGGTCACTAACTGAATGGTTTGCAAGTCGAGGACTACCTGTATTCCTAAAAATCTTGGAGTCCTCCACCCCATGCTCAAATCTGTTTCTATCTCCCTCTTCACAGTCATTTTGGCTGCTTCCAAATCCACGTTTGTTTCTCCCTATTGGAAAAAAGAGGGAATGATACAGGCAGACTTTGAACTCAACACATGTCTCGTGTGTGTTCCTTAAAGACAGCAAAGAATAATAATTGCTTGTCATTTTGATTGAAATTTGGTCATGCTCATTATGGGCTGGTTTATGTTTTCGGTCTTCTAACTGCATGGATTCCCCCCCCCCCTTTTCTCTTGACTCACTCTACGACAGGGGTCTTTACCATTGAAGACTTGGAAGAAAGCTTACGAAACCTGAAGGTTCAGGTGGATAGCTTAGCCTCCGGCCTAACTGTCCATCCAGATCAAGATTATACTTCTGCTCTGGAACACGTGGCTGACCCAAGTCCTTCAAGTTTCAAACAGCATCCATCAGGGTCACGCACTGAGACAGAATGGTTACTGAAAGAAAAGCATCTAGCGAGATCATTAGACGATAATTTGAATTTGATGGATTTGGCCATTCCAACCTTACATTCATCCCCACTAAACAAAACTTCAGGATTATTTGGCTCTATAAGTCAGAACTCTCCTGCCTTAGGGGATCTTTCTGCCCCATTGAAACTCGGGGCCCCTCATGTGATTGGTGTCAAGTCTTTGCTACCCCCCAAGATTCCAGTCCGAGCTTGCTTGCCGGAAAGATCCTCGTTCACATTCCGCAGAGGCCGTTCGCTTAGTCACTCTGAGGTTACCCGCTCCTGCTCCTTCTCTCCGGATGCCAAACGCCCATGCTGGCTCCGATCACGTTCTCAGTCTCCGAGGCCTATCTGGAGACCTACCTCGGCTAAGGCTAATGCCTGTGCCCAGCCTCCGCCTCAGCTGGGGAAGCCCAGGGGAGTCAGAAAGAAAAGCATATCAAGCAGACAGTCGCGGTTGAGGTTCTTCAGGCCAGGAACATTAGCATCAAAATCCTGGACTTCCACCAAGGCAGTTGGACTGAGGACACCGAGGAACTCTTGGAGTCCTTACAGTTTGGCTTCTTCTGATATCTCCTCGCCCAGCGCAGAGGAGATCAATGAACGGTAAGAAGAAGCTTCTAAGCCTCCTGACCTAACATAATCAGAATTACTATGATCATGTCAGAGTTCGTTCAGAAAAATCAAATCCAGGAAGCACACACAGATAACTGATTCAGCTGGATTCATTAACTTCTTTATATACATAATAACAGATGAATAAATGTACAATACCAATAGTAGATTCTTTCAACGTGGTAGAAGTTACAAGCAGAATACAAGCAGGAGAGAACAGTTTCATCTCAGAGTTTGGATTTGATTTTTCT